AAAAAAAAAAAAAAAAGCCTTCAGATTGAAAAGGGCTCACTGAAAACTCCACACAACGAAAAACAGCTGCATTCCAAGAATGAGCATTGTAAAGTTTCAAAATGACGAGGAAAAAGAGATGACTGTAAAAGTTTCCAGCAAGACAAAAAAAGGTAAATCATAGACCAAGTACTAAAAATCAGAGTGACATAAGGCTTTTCAGTTGTACTATTAGGATCCTGAAGACAGTGGAATAGTCCTTAAAAATCCTGAATGAAAACTAATTTCAAAATAGAGTTTTATACCCAGCAAAACAATCATGTGTATGCATACAATAGTAATGTTTTCAGGCATACAAATACTTGAAACATATTTTTCATGTAACTTCCCTTATGAAAGCTACCTGGAGATTGTACTTCAACCAAAAAAGGAAATAAATTGAGAAACATGGTAACTTATGACCCAGAAAACAGAGAACTATAAAAGAACACGGCGAAGGCTTAACACAATATAGAGATCAACCAGGCCATACATAAGATGCCAAGAAGCATATGTCCAGGAAAAATTTTTTAAAAGAGCTTATACTTTATCTAATAGGTGATTTGAAAAGATATTATTGATGGTTGTTTAACAGATATGTTTGAATATTTGGAGGAAAATGTCAGTTACCTAGAAAAACAAACTATTAAAAACCTAGCAATTTTAGAAATAATAAAATTATACATAAGACAATTAATTTTTTTTTAAGATCACTCACCAGGCTGGAGTGCAGCAGAGTGATCCCAGCTCACCACAACCTCCCGGGTTCAAGCAATTATCCTGTCTCAGCCTCCTGAGCAGCTGGGAATACAAGTGTGTGCCACCACACCCAACTGTTTTGTTTGTTTGTTTGTATTTTTAGTAGAGACAGGGTTTCGCCATGTTGGCCAGGATGGTCTTGATCTCTTGACCTCATGATCTGCCTGCCTTGGCCTCCCAAAGTGCAGGGATTACAGACATGAGCCACTGTGCCTGGCCCAAAATTAGTTTAGACAAGATAACGCTTGACTCAGTAGTGAGCAAATTTGTCATAATCATTATAATGTAAGTGAACTAGTAACTAATAATTTGACCAAAATTGTTATATGGGAGCATGAGGTGGGTATGTAGGGTGGGTGGTTTGAGACCTAAATTGTCACCCTTCTTCACATAAGAAAGGTCTAATGTTGAAAACTTAACAAATAGCAGTGTAAGTTTGTTTTTTAAAAATACGAAGATAAACATTGGAAGAGCTGATGGTGTGTGCCACTGAAGATTAAGTTTGAAATGCGTGAGGTAGGGCATGGGCACTCCTCTTCCTTGTTACTGGCCATTTAGTACTCTTTGACTTAAATTGGGTGCATTACTTAGATAGGCAAATTTAATCAACAATAAAAATAAAGTTACATATGCCCATGATTAAGAAAAAAACTTCCTACAGTGTGGAGGGATATATATGAACAGTATCAAGTCTCTCCTTTTCCAAATTCGATCCCCAGTACTGTTTTCTTTTAACAGTTTTTTTTTTTTTTTTTGAGACGGAGCTTCGCTCTTGTTACCCAGGCTGGAGTGCAATGGCGCGATCTCGGCTCACCGCAACCTCTGCCTCCTGGGTTCAGGCAATTCTCCTGCCTCAGCCTCCTGACTAGCTGGAATTACAAGCACGCGCCACCATGCCCAGCTAATTTTTTGTATTTTTAGTAGAGATGGGGTTTCACCATGTTGGCCAGGATGGTCTCGATCTCTTGACCTCGTGATCCATCCGCCTCGGCCTCCCAAAGTGCTAGGATTACAGGCGTGAGCCACTGCGCCCAGCCCAGTTTTTACATTTAGTTGTTCTGGTGGTTATATTCATGACTTGAAAGATACCTTTTGATGAGGTGTAAAGCAGTCTGGACCTGCCTTTGCCCAGTTAGCCAAAAGATGGCCATATCAAACTGCACTGTAGATAGACATGCAGGTTAATAGTGTGCTTTGAGAGTAATGTACAACTGGCCTATGGCTGTGGTTGGTCTTTCATCCCCAAGCCACTATATACAGCCAGGGAAGCAGCCTGACCTAGTTGGGTGAGGCAAAGGGTTATCCTGCCAGTGGGAGCATGGCATTTCTGGCAAGATACTTCTCTTCTAACTGTTGGACTTGCTGCCATGGCAGATTTTCCTGACTCAGGGAGTAAGTGTTGAGCCCTGGTCCAGCTGGTTAGATTATTTGTTGATTTTGATTATCTGCACCAATAAGCTCTTTTGCTGGCATGGATGATCAGAAGCAGGCAGTAATTTTCCATCTTCCTAACAAAAATACATTTCACATTTTGAAATTACAATAGAAGAAGTTTTATTCAGTTTTCACCAAAATACTGCTTTATTGGGGAGGGGGAAATGTTATGATTTAAATTGAGAACTCATTAAGGATAGTCACGTATTCTTAGGTGGGCCATTTTTTCTTATCACTTTGCTATTCTTGAAAGATGGAGGGAAAAATAAATAATAATGATCATTGCCGTCTTTTATTCAGCTTTTACTATGCGTGAGGCACTCTGCTAAGTATTCCTAGCCTAATTTAATCTTCACAACAGTTTTAAGAGCTTCTTATTCCTCTGATTTTAGAAGGAAGAAACTGTTTAATAGTCCAGTGACTTGTCCAAGGTCACATAAAAGTGCCAGAGCTGTGTCTGGAGCCCTGGTTTGTGTTGGCCGTTGGACCCATGTTCTTTACCTCTGTGTTTGGCCTGGCTTTCAACACAACCCTTGACTTTTTGTTACATGAGCAAAAGAAAGAAGCTAATTTATACTTAAAACCTAATTACCAGTGTAAGGTACATATGTTGTTATTGTTGCTTGGTGCTTATAAAAATTGTATCTTTTCTTTTTAAAAAAGTTGGAAATTTTATACGTTTTCTATTTCTGTCATTCTTTTGTATTCTCTCAATTCAGAATTTTGGAGTCATCTTTGATCTTCCGATTCCCCTCCTTTGATTTCCACAAAATCTCCATGTTCTCTTTATATTCCTGTGTTAAGTCCCTCCACTCCTCCTGTCTGGAATCCTGCAGTTATCTTTTCATGGTGTCCCTTCTGTCATTCTTTGCCACCTTAAATTGATTGTACACATTGATCCAGTTTTCTCAAGCTCAACTTCTGTCACATTGCCTACCTGTTTAAACCATTAATGTCGCCCCCTTATCTATAAGAAAAATAAAGTGTTATTATTCTATCATTCAAGACCTTTCATAACGTGATCTGAAGTATCATCACTCCAGAGTTTTTGTGCCCTTACTTCTTTCTCACTTTTCTTGTTCATGCTAATATATCCCTCATCTGGCTACGGAGGCATGAATTTTCTCTATAACTCAGTTGGTGTTTTTATATGCTTTGCATTTTGATAGTCTTCTTGTGTATGTATGTCTCATTTGCCCAGGTGAATTATTCACTCCTGAGTGTAGAGATGGGAACTCTGAGTTGATCATATTATTTAGTACAATTTCTTGCATACAGCACTGTGTAAAAAAATTAATGAATACATTTTTGAAGTTTTAAAGTTAACATATAATTCCAATTCTATAGTTCTTTCCTTTTGTTAATTTCATAAATCTTAGACAATAAAAATTTAATGATCTTTATTATTTTTATCTCTTTAATTGTATTGAATTATGAAATTGAAAATATGTTGGTCTGATTTTAATAACACAATATTTAAAGAAGTAAGTCAGCTTAACTTAGTATTCCAATTTGAAAGATAGAGAAAATCGACACTGAATGAAAATGTTATAATTATTACATAGTTTTTTTAGAAATAAACCAATCTATGAGAACTATAATAAGTGATTATATTGTTTGTTAATGTATGGTGTTGATGGAGATAAACTGAATAGTTATACTGTTATGAATTTAAAAATGTAAATGAATTATTCAATTTATCCTACATGATGTATTAAATGTAGTTGGAGGTTATTCAGAATATTGAATAAGGACATGAGGAAATTTAGAAATTTATTTAAATACTAAATTTAAATCCCTCTACTTAAACATGATTTTGTTTTCCAAAAGGAGGTTACATTTTTATGTATCAAAAATTTGCTCCTTGCTTTCTGCTGAATTGGAAAATGTTTCTGCCCTTTCTTCTTTTTTTCTTGTTTTAATAACCTAAATATTTTTAAGTGTTCATTTTTTATTTTCTTTGGCTTAATTTTACAGATGTTCTATTAATAAATATTTCTACTTTAGTATATAAATTATTTAAAATTGAATCCTATGTGAGTATTTTTGCTTTGAAATATATTGTATTTCAGTAAGATAAGGATAATTTCATCCTGAGACCAAAAAATAAACCTTCACAAATTTTATATATTCATATTTATTAGTCTTACAGTGTTCTTGTTGACTTTTTAAATTGCAAATTTAAATGGAAATATTATTTTAGCTCAGAAATCTCATACATTATCAATGCTTAAATTTCTCATGCTATTTTTTCCTGAATTTTTTTCCAAGTAATGTTGAACGTTATAATCATGCCATTTTTTACACCTCACATTTTTCTAAAATATCTCTTAAATTATTTATTTTAACGTTTAATTTGATTTTCAAAACACCCAAATGAAGCCATAATTTCATCTTTTAGAGTAAAAAGTACATATTTGATGTAAATCACTGCATGTGTCTGAATCTCACACAAAAATGTTATATTTTAAAGGTAGTGGCATTTTAAGTAAATATTACTTTTAAAAGAGAATGACTTTTAGAATGGTAGTACAATTATCCACTTTGAATACTCTCATTTAATCATTTCATTTTCAAAATTGGACTTTATTTTGCAATCCAAAAAAAGAGAAGACTAATGTGCATTTTTGGATGTGCTAATTCCCTTTGTCATAAAATGGAAGCTAGCCTAAATTTTCTAATAATTTTTTATCACATTGAAATTCATGGCAAAAAATAAAAATGAGCTAATTTTGAATTCAAGTGCATGTATTTTATATGGATGCTTTTTCCTTTTTCCTTTACCTAAGGAAATAGAGAAACTGAGAATAGAACTGAGTGAAAGCAAGCAGCATTTGGAACAGGAGCAGCAGAAGGCAGCCCGGGCCAGAGAGGAGTGCCTGAAACTAACAGAACTGCTGGGCGAATCCGAGCACCAACTGCACCTCACCAGGTACTCCCTAATCCCATTATGCACCATAGCACCGACTTCATTCCACTGATTTTTGCCACAGGCTTCCAAACAGTTGTTAGAGTTAGTCTTAGTCATTCAGTTCACACATAGCTTTCAGGCATATTAAGAAAAGTGGAGATGTGGTAAGCAAAACACCCAGACATGTGAATGATAAGTGTGGCAGGGAATTACTGATATATTACAAAACCTTTCATCTACAATGCTCAAATATTTAGGTGATTCTCTATCAATATAAGCAAAATGACATATTTCTCCTACCACCACTACTACCTCTTCTGCTAATTCTACGTCTAATAAAAATCTTGAACTGAAGGAGCTGAGGAATTTATTTAGGAAAATAATAAAATACTGTCAGTGGTGAAAGAGACAAAGTAAATAAATTGTAAGATGCAAATTGAAATGGAACTGATACAAAATAAGGAATCTGCATCCTAAGGAGGTGTAAAATTTCAAGATGAAATAGATTGGCACTGCTCGTGTTCGAATTATTATTACACAGGCTTTCACCATTGAGGCTTCAGCTTACTTCGCTTCCATCATGAGATTTTGTGATGTGATCATCATTGTCATCAACTTTAGTAAACATGTAGCTCAGCCCTAAATTACAGTAAGACTCTTAGGTTGTAAGCATTGTGAATTTGCTGTATTGGAAAAGCACACACTCATAAATACAGACATTGAGAGAAAAATTCAAATAGAGACAGTAGATATTTCACTTTATCATATGTGGTTTCTTTTCACTTTGAGTTTTATTACAATTTTTCAATGTTCACATCAAGCCTTTGGTGTTGCTCAGTTCTTAGAGTTTTTCAGTTTTTAGAGAGAACTTTGTTTAAATAAAATGTAAGTTTATGATATTTGGTTTGGTTTATAAATTAGAAAAACACTGGTCTTCCAATCATTGTAATATGTTGAATTTAAACTATGAAAGGGGACTGATCCCTTTTACATTAAACATGACAATGTAATTCTGAGCACGGTATGCTAACAGATGGAGAAAAGCACCACTTGAACAGCCTGCATTTGGAGAAAAAAATATTCTAGAGGTTGGTGAACCTCCCAAAGTTTTGGGTTAGTGTTAAGATGCCTCTGGTTCTGTTAAAATCAAACCTTGTTTAAAACATTTTGTTATGATAATATTCCAAATGATTTGACATCTTCGCTTTTAAACAATAAAAGAAAGAGGAAAGAAAGAGAGAGAAAGCAAAGAAAGAAAATAAATTATTTATACATGTATGGTATCTAGAAAAAAAATCCTAATAGATGAAACACATTTATGAGAAAAAAAATTGCTTAATATTGCAGAATAATAACTGTCCTTTTAATGCTTATTTAAAGTATTGTCATTGTAGAACTGAGAATGTACTGTTAGCGTAATGCCTGTGGTTATTTAATCTTAGAAGTTTCAGAATTTAGCTTCATCATGGTAATGTTAATAGTTTTTCTTTTCTGTCAGACTTCTATTCAGAACCAACCATTTGTGTGCTAAGCACTGCTAAACCTCAGAAATAGGACAGCTTTTAATGTCTCAGCGTGGCTGAGCTTCAGTAAATAAATATTAATGCTGGTTTTGCCCCTTTTGCCATTCTGTCTTATTCAGAGTTAATTTCTGAAGTCAAAGTCCATAGAGAGTTTCCCTGTGTAATATCAATTTGTACTGTTTGACAAGATCAATTTCTTGCAAGTAGAGCATATTAAGATGCAGCAACTGCTGAAAATGAACGAGTGGTAACTAATTCCTTTGTTCTTAAGAAAAACGGTTTTGCTTGGTTCTGTAGAAAGCTTTTTTTGTTGAGCTTTATTTAAACCAATTCTACAAAAATTTAAACGTAGTTTTACAGGAAATAAAAATTATTTTCTAAGTGCAGTACTCTTTTGTAAGCATTTTATGCTTAGTCTATGTTCATGTTTTATAAAATCCACATTCATAAATTTAAAGATGACAATTAGAATGCAAGGAAATATGTATATCTCTCCTTTGCACCGACAGTGTGACTTGGTTGTTGGACTATTTCTGATATACAGTACTCTTTTGTGTGTGTGTGTGTGTGTTTAAGTTTGCTACCCCTCATCAGGCTTTATTGATTCAGTATACTCAGGTGTGTGACTGAGAAATGTTGTGTCGTTCCTTTTCAGTGTAGATCAGCTGAAATACATAACTCCTACACAGATAACACCTTACCACACAGTCTCAACTTAAATACTTCAAATGGCATATTCCAAACAAAGTTGAAAATTGAATATGAAAACCATGTTTAAAGTAATGACAAAATAAGCATCCAAATCTTAAGGGCAAAGAAAATTTTAAAACTGTAGTAGAAATCTGTAGATCAATCTAAAAGAAACAAACAACCTACCACTTTTCTGATGTTTCTCCTTATTGGATTTTAAAATGGTAAATAGAGGCCAGGTGCAGTGCTCACACCTCTAATTCCAACACTTTGGGAGGCCAAGACGGGGGGGCTCACTTGAGGCTAGGAGTTCGAGATCAGCCTGAGCAACTTAGTGAGACACCATCTCTACAAAAAATAAAAATATTAGGCAGGCACAGTGGTGCACCTATAGACGCAGCCACTTAGGAGGCTGAGGCTAGAGGATCACTTGAGCCCTGAAGTTCAAGGCTGCTGTGAGCTGTGATTTCACCATTATGCTCCAACTTCGGTGAGAGAGTGAGACCTTGCCTCAAAAAAAAAAAAGGAAGTTAGAAATTTAGTATTAATTAAAGGACCCAAATTGGTGAGTTTAACATTCACTTAGTCAACAGATACTTACTGAGCACCTACTATTTTTTAAGTACTTTGCTTGGTCCTAGGCATAGAGAGAAAAAATAAAACCCAGTTTCTACCCTTAGATTACTCACACTCTAGTAAAGAAGCCACATCTCTATAGGCAAATATAATAGTGTGACAAAGTGCAATGATAAAAGTGAAGATTATCACAGGAGCACACCGGAAGGAAGACTGACCCATTCTGCACCAGAGGTGGAGGTGATAGTCAAGGAAAGCTGATATCAGGGAAAGCTGGCAGTGAAAAGGGATTCTGAGGGAGGTGGGGATATTTGGCAACAATCTTGATTAATGAAACCATGAGTAAGAATTCTGAAAGTGGAAAAAAAATGGGTTGGGTACCCCAGGTAGAGAGACCAATATATGCAGAGACATAAAGACGGGAGAAAACATAAACTTGACTCTCAGATGAGGTGTTTGGTAGGGGATAAGACTGGAAAGGGGAGCAGAGCCCGGAGGAAGAGCCTTACGGGCTACACTCTGGAGTTCTGCCCATTCCAACTTACTCTTGATGCATTTTAAGCAGAGGTGTCAACATCATTGACTTTCTGGGTTAAGAGCTTGACTCAGACAGCAGTGTGGAAAGTGAACTTTGGGTGTTGATATAGGAGACAGGAAGACCAGTTAGGCCAAGGTCAGCAATTGCAACCCATGGGCCAACTCTGACCCATCATCTGTTTTTGCTTGATGAGTCAGACTTGAATGGTTTTTATATTTTTAAGTGATTAGAAAAAAGGGAAAACAATATTTTTTGACACATAAAGATGATACATTCATAAACTTTTATGGGACAATGTCACCATTATCCTTCATATATTATGTATGGCATAACAAAGAATGGTTTTTATATTTTTAAGTGATTGGAAAAAAGGGAAAACAATATTTTTTGACTCATAAAGATTATACATCCATAAATAAAGTTTTATTGGCCAATGCCACCATTATCCTTTACATATTATGTATGGCGCTACCATTACCACACTGGTGTTGAATGTGGTCCTTAAAGCCTAGAGTATCTACTGTCTGTCCCTTTATGGAAAAAGTTCACCTACGCCTCAGTTAGGAGGCTGTTTAGTTCAAGTAAGAAGTCAAGAGGGCTTGAACAACGACAGATTCAAATATGTATTTTAAGAAGGTAATTGAAGAGCTTTGTGAAAAATGGATGGTTTGAGGAAGAGATGACTATGAGGGACCCCAATTAGAATACAAGCACCATAGTCAAGGGGGAGAGTAATGAAGCCCTGGGGATGTCTGTCCCAGTGCAGTGAAAGGAAGTAGCATCTTCAGGAGGCATTTGGAGTCATGAATAAGAGAGGACAGAATTAAAAGTGACTAAGTTTTCTAGCCCAAGTTGACTGGAGGATCTGTTAAGCCAACTGAGAAACTTAAAAGAGATAGCAGAGAAAAATTTTATTGCAACCTCAGTGGAGATTCCAATGTTGGTTTGGTATGAGGAGAAAGGTCATCACTAGAGGCTTAGAACTGGATCCTTTTACATAAAGGTATTCGTTGTAGCTAGGGAGTGTGTAAAAGCACATAAAAAGGACCATGTTTTTAAAGTACAGTGGAAGAATTACCACCAGCCAATGTGACTGAAATTGGGTCTTTGGATATATAAGAAAAGAATAAAGAAGAATGGTTCAGAGTATTTGGTGGGGTAACAATTAAAGCCATATGCTTTTCTTAGGGGAGGTCCTCAGACAGCCCAGGATTGGAGAAACCGGAGCTACAGTATCTTCTCTAGGCATTCACTCCAGGCATTCTTTCCAGCTTTTGACAAATTACTTACCTCTTTGGGCCTGCTTACGTACATATACAATGAGGTAAGACTAGGCTGGGTGCGATGGCTCATGCCTGTAGTGCCAGCACTTTGGGAGGCCAAGGTGGGCGGATCATGAGGTCAGGAGATTGAGACCATCCTGGCCATGGTGAAACCCTGTCTCTACTAAAATACAAAAAATTAGCTGGGCATGGTGGCACCTGCCTGTCGTCCCAGCTACTCAGGAGGCTGAGGCAGGGGAATTGCTGGAACCTGCAAGACGGAGGTTGTAGTGAGCCAAGATCGCACCACTGCACTCCAGCCTGGTGACAGGGCAAGACTCCGCCTCAAAAAAAAAAAAACAAAAAAAACATGAGGTGAGAGTAGATGATTTATAAGTTTCCTTCTAGTTCTGATAATCAATGATTCTAATAATGATTTAAGACAACCCATTATCAAGTTCCTATTTCTGGACATTAGGCATTTAAATTGCATGGATGATCTTTTGTTTAAGTTATTTCTTTAGTTTGAACTTCAGAGAGTTCATTGAAATGACCCTCAGACCCACCACTTAAATTCATTGCAACTTCGGTTCTGCTGACCTCTCACAAAGGTTATGAAAATTGTCTCAACACATTTCCGGTCTCTTTTGCTGACCATTGCCCAGTGAATATGCATAAGCCTCTGCCTTGACTCTGTTGCTGTACTCTGAAAACCTTCCATGGTGCCGCTCTATTAGAGAAAGGCAAATGACAGCATGGCATGTGACGTCATCCTGATAGGCTCTCACCCTTCCAGTCTCGCTTCATCCTAGATGAAATCCTCTTACCTGCTGACTGCCAGGCAAATGTAAGCACAGCTCCCCATGCACGTTTGGAGGGCTTTTTCTCTCCATTTGCTGTTCTCTACACCTAGAATACCCCTCTGAGCTTCGCTGGCTCTATTGCAATCTTACCTTCTTTCCAAGGTCTCCCTGAAATCCTGATTTTTCTACCATAGGCCTCCCCACTGATTCTTGTCCGGATTCTCCCTTTGAATCCAGCTTCCCGCTTTGTGCTGATGGCATTTGAGTAAATGAATTACTCAAAGGAGGAAAAAAGCAAAATCTGGGAAAAAAAATTAATAGTTGGAATTTTTTTGTATACTTGCTATTTTTTGCTTCTGGAATGTATCATTCTTCAAGTAGGAGAAGAGGGCCTATCAATCTTGTATTTCTCAGCGCACCTAGCTCATCACTTTGCAAAGAGTTGGAGCGTAATATCATTAATAAAAATTGTGAATATATTGCAAATGTATGACTATTCTTTCGAGCTCAGTACTGCTATATAAATAAATATTTGTATCTTCTCACATATATCAGTAAAAAGTATAAGAGAGTGATAAGGCTAAAATTTTTCATTGGGAATTTTACTTGTCCACGTGATACTATATTGTGATTTTGTAATTACTTTTTTTATTTTTAACTTTGTATAAATATATATATTTAAGTATAGCAGAACCAAACGATAATCACTCCAACAATGCAAGTAGGTTTAGTAAAGTGCACCAGGCCTCTCACTTACATGTACTTGTTGAAAAACCACACACTCACTCGCTCTTAAACTAGAGTTTCTATAATTAGAAGATGACAGTGAAACTATATACTGTGGTGCACACCTGCAGTCCCAGATACTTTGGAGGCTAAGGTAGGAGGATCGCTTGAGCCCAGGCGTTCAAGGCCAGCCAGGGCAACATAGCATGACCACATCTCTGGGGGAAAAAAAAATGGCAGTTTTTGAAACAAGTGCCTCGTAAGCATGATCACTAAACATATCTAGCCTAGCATATATGAAAACAAAGCCAGGCTGCTTTCTTCCAGTTATTACCATTAATATTATTCAAACAACTTCTTCCTTTTCCATAACAGACTTTCAGGTACATTTAAAAATGCTCATCCATTTATTTACTCATTTTACATGGAGCGTTTTCTGTTGCAAGACACTGTGCTAGGGATGATGGGAGTTAGAAAGATAAAGCGGCCTCAGCTGCTGCCCTTCAGAAGCTTACCGACTGGTAGGAAAGAGAAGAAAATGCGTGAATAGGTCAGGTGTGGTGGCTCACACCTGTAATCCCAGGACTTTAGGAGGCTGAGGCGGGCAGATCACTTGAGCCCAGGAGTTTGAGACCAGCCTGGGCAACATGGTGAAACCCCATCTCCACACAAAAAATAAAAAATTAGCTGGGCATGGTGGTGCATGCCTGTAGTTCCAGCTACTCTGGAGGCTGAGGTGGGAGGATGGCTTGAGCCCAGGAGGTCAAGGCTGCAGTGAGCTGTGGTGGCGCCACTGCACTCCAGCCTGGGCAACAGGGCAAGACCTTGTCTTCAAAATTAAAGAAAAAGAAAATGCACATGTAGTTGGTAAGATAAATGGTAGAATCCAGAAGAGAGGTTATAGAAAAGGATTACAGGGAGAGAGAGAGACAAATGACTTCTTACTGATTTTGGTAGGATTTGGATACAGGAAAATGGTAATGAAGGGCATTCCATGCAGGGGAATCAGTGGTATTTGGGAGGTGCAGATGTCTACATAAGAGTGAGTTAAATACAGGGCACACAACGATCCTACAGGCTTTGAACACTATCACCTTGGAGGTTAAGAACGTATTCATCTTAGTATCTGCGTGGTACCATGCTGCATGTAGCAGCTCTTCAGAAAATAACAAGAGTTATAGCTAACAGCAGTGGCTGACATTTTGCTGATCCCCTGCTGTTCCAGGAACCAAGCTGAGTGCTTCTTCAATAATCCTACCAATAGCTCTATAAGGTACAGAATCTTATTGTCTCTAATTTACAGCTAAGACAGCTAAGGCACAGAGAAGGCAAAGGAGTCATCTAAGGTTACACAGCTGATATGTTATGGAAGCAGGTTTGGAACCCCAGTAATTTGCCTGCAAAGCTTGTACCCTTACCCATTAAGCTGTAATTCCATGTAAATTACTAGAGAAATGGATTAATGCAATTGTTCTGAAAAAGACAACGTAGAAAATCAGTAACATGAATTTATAATAGAAATAAGTGTTAGCTGCTCCCCTGTGCACCAACACGAATACATGACAGTGAATTTTGGCTTGAATTTTTTCTAAGAAACATAGTGTCCTTTGGCCCATTATTTGCCATAGTCATTTAAACATGTTGTAATGCAGTTGTCATTCTCCTTTACCTCCTTACTTAATTTTCACCAAGAAGCAAGAGAGGCTGTTATTAAAAAGCAGAAATTCCTCAAGTATTTATTTTTGACATGTCCAAATATCTGTAAAGAGCTATAGGATTTAAATTCCTATCATATGACTACCATTTACACACATGTGGTCGGGTTAATTTGTGATATAAAGCAACCACTTCTTAACGTTTATGTGACTCTTATTAACTTCTTAGTAAGACATTCTTTCCCATACCTTTTGCCCAAAACACATTTTTTTAAATCCTGCATTTTTTTTTCTTGTATCTGATTTTGAGGGTAACTACTGCAGGAAGGTTTTTTTGTTTGTTTGTTTATTATCCAGAGAATTTAGAACTTGGATTGTCCTAAGTATAAAAACTTAAAAATTCTTATTTTTCCTTTTACATAAATGATCTTTTTAATAATATGTATGCACTTCAAAGAATTTCTCAGAGCATGAATCTCAGTGAGAGTGCACCAAACAGGTATTATGCTGTGACCTACTTCTGTGATCCACATGGGAAGATCTGACCTGTGACTTAGAGAGACAGCAACTTGACCTGTAGGATTTGTATCTTTTTGAAAGTAAGAAAAGGGTAGAGCAAAGGAGTCCCGAGTTTATCCTGTTACGGTGGGTAGATCATGTGGGGGGAGATTGAGAGAGGCTTCCATTCCAGGGCATTCAGTTTCTACATAGTAACTAGTACAGAGACTTTTTTTTTTTTTTTTTTTTTTTTTTGAGACAACAGTCTCCCTCTGTTGCCCAGGCTGGAGTGCAATGGTATGATCTCGGCTCACTGTAACCTCTGCCTCCCAGGTTAAAGCAATTCTCCTGTTTCAGCCTCCCAAGTAGATGGGATTACAGGAAGGCACCACCACACCTGGCTAATTTTTGTATTTTTAGTAGAGATGGGGTTTCACCCTATTGGCCAGGCTGGTCTCAAACTCCTGACCTCAGCCATCTGTCTGCCTCTGCCACCCACAGTGCTGGGATTACAGGTGTGAGCCACTGTGCCTGACCTCTTGTACAGATACTTTGTTGAAGTTAATTGTTTGGCCTCCCAGCCTATCAATATGAGTCAAGATTTTTTGGGTAAATTGAAATCCAAAAAGGAGAAATCGATGAATTTTTATAACCAGGCCATGTGTAATTCAGGTGCATGCAGCTGACCTCAGGTTTCTTGGAGCCAGCATGCTTTCCTATCCTAACTTTCCATAGCGGGGCTCAGCTTCTATCTGAATTTTGCTAATTATTTCAGATTCTTCCAAACCATGGAGTAAAACATCCTTCGTTCTGAAATTTATAATAAAGGAAATACCCTTGATTTCAAACCATAAGAATGTGACTTTCTAGCTCCTTCACTTCCAATTTCAAATCACCCTTTGGCACCCCCACACACTTGGGTGCTGTGGCTGGTAGCTGCTTCAGAACCACATGGAGTAAGGGAAGAAAGGTGTACTAAAGAAGAGGAGGTGCTCTTAACTAGGGGAAGGGTGTCAGGGATCCTGGGTAAGTAAAACACAAAGTATCTGTACTGTTGCCCCTGTTGTCTTTTTAAAAATATAATCCCTGGTCAGGTGCAGTGGCTCACGCCTATAATCCCAGCACTTTGGGAGGCCAAGGTGGGAGGATCACTTGAGGCCAGGAGTTCAAGACCAGCCTGAGCAACATAATGAGACCCCATCTCTACCAAAAAATAAAAACCATTTAAAAATTAGCCAGGCATGAAGGTACGTGCCTGTAGTCCTAGCTGTTTGGGAGGCTACATGGTAGTGTGTGCCTGAGTCCTAGCTACTTGGGAAGACTGCTTGAGCCCAGGAGTTTAAGGCTGTCGTGAGCTTTGATTGTCATTGCACTCTGGCCTGGGTGACAGAGCAAGACTCCATCTCAAAATCATAATAATAATAATAATAAATGCAATCCCTAATTTTTCCTCTAAGAAATGGTTTGAAGTGGAAAGAGGGGAGAGAAGAGCACGTTTCTGTCCATGTTGGTTGGACATGATATTCTCCATTGTCCACATGTGGTAAGCCCAAGGAGGCATCACAGTTCTCCACAACAACAGGGTCTCTTTTTTGTTTTACTGAGAGAACTCTTAGAATATAAGAAGAAAGATGCACAGATAAATCTCTAGGATACACATGTATTGTGCATGGTCTCTGCAGCAGTGCTGTTCCAGCTGTGGTCCATGATGGGCTGTTTGTTGATGTCTATGACGCGGTAAGTGCTGAAATCTAGAGAAGTATTTGGCAACTTTTATATCAATTTTAAATTGCCACAATTTCCAAGTGCATGATCAGTGAGCTTTTTTGTTTCAGTGCCATTTAAATTTTTTCTAGTAATTCATTTTTATTGTGTTTTACAAAACTATTTGCAAAAGATTAGAAATTAAAACAAATATGCTGATCATTAACCACAAGAAGCTTGAGATGCCATGGTTCTCACTGCTTCCAGCAAGCTTGAGAAATAATAGTCCTCTGTAGATGAGGCTGAGCCTCCAAAGGTGAAGCTTGGGCTCGGGTATCCAGGAGGGAGGAGAGTAGGCAGGGGTTGAAGGGCAAACACTTGTTTCAAACTGAGATAGGAATACTTCTGACGTTGTAAAATCTCAGCACCCAGACCAGGAACCAGGCCTGTTTCATCTCTGTGGCCCCAGCACCAAATTAGGCACGGGGCATTTAGCAGGTTCTCTATGAACATTGAATAAAGTTGCCTCTGCTCTTTATTGTTGGGAAAATTAAAAAAAAAAAAAAAAAAAAAAAAAAAAGGAACTGCCCTCATCTGAAGATAACAACAAGCTTAGGTCAAAAAGCCAAACTCTCGTTCTTGGTTTATTTGAAGAGAATAATATAACACTGATGTATATTCTTGGTATTTTACAGTGAACTTTATCTTTTTTCCTCCTGAGTTTTATTCAAGAATTTTTAGCCTAAAGTTTCCACTTCAAAGTTAAGCTCATTTTTTTCTTGTACTCCTTTCATGAATAAATTAAGCAGAGAATGTGTCAAAAATAATTTTAAATGGATATATGTGCAACCAACATCTTCAAGGCTTGAAATAGATGGCCTTGGTGCTGTTTTAAATTGCGTCCTCTTTTCCTTCCCCCACCCAGTATCAGAGAAAACAGGCTGTCAGAGAGCCAGGAAAGAAAAGGCGCTTCGTTTAGCTCTGGTGGGCACCACACTGCCCGAGCCCGCTCTGCTCCACCTGTTTGAAGGACGAAGAACCCTGGTCTCAGTGTGGCCCCGGGCGGGAGAGGTTAGAAAGTCAGACACTGCCAGGAAATGTGTGTTTGCCGGTTCTGCTTAACGTTCCCTGGCTCGCTTCTCTCAGTTCTGCGAAGCCCAAATGTGAATGCAATGAAAATCTACGCTGGGGATGTACTCCTCTCCCCTGCCACATAGGCCCACAGCCTGGAGCATGGTGGCAGCGGCAGCCAACTCATTTTCTGAAGAAGCCCAGAGGAAACCGAGAATGTATTGCCCACACCACTTGCCTGACTCAACAACAATGAGCATCAAGTTCAAAGAAAATAGGAAAGAAAAAGCAAAAACATAGAATTCTTCTCATAGTAGCCCAAGCCAGAGTATCTCTCTCAAGGAAAGTTCTGCTCGCCAATATTATTTTAAAGTAAAAGGATGATAACAAAAACCTGTCAGCCGGTTGATGTCAAATTTCTTTTGGTAAATTTCTAAAATTAATCAATTCACATTATTTTATATACATTTTTAGAGACACAGTCTCGCTGTGTTGCCCAGCCTGGCCTCAAACTCCTGGGCTCAAGCAAAACTCCCACCTGAGCCTTTCAAGTAGCTGGGATTACAGGTGTGTACCACTGTGCCCAGCTTTGATATTTAATTTCTTCTTAACACCTCCTCCTAATGAATGTGTTCTTTGGATCGGTTATTAGGCAGTAGTCATTTGTTATTTAATGTTGCTGGGATACTCACAAAGTATGTAGTGATTCATTGATTGATAAATCCTGGAATTAGAGCTCATTTTAAGGATCCTGAGAAAGTAAGAGGCTTGGGGAATATCCAGTCTCCTCAGTGGCCTCTCCCAAGCCATGTCTCATGGGAGGCCAGGGTCTCCTTCAAGGAAACACATTTGTATTATGCTGCAACTCTGTTAGAGCCGCCCAGCAAAGGATGCAGTCAGTCTCAGCAGCTCAGAGTGGGCACCAGACAGGTCAGAAAACGTTTGGAAGCAGCCTCACATCTGCTGAGGTAACACTGCTCCACCTTGGTTCTATGTGTTCTCTCCCCAGCAGGCAGGGTCACTTGTGATAGGGCTGAGCATCTCCTGCCCTGACCAAGCCATGGTGGGTAGTGAGGGAGAGCCACCGGCTTCTTGGTTTTCCGAGTATCAAAGGGGTTCCTTCCCCAGGGAGGGCGCCAGTGAATAAGCAGGGCATCCCTCTGACACCTTTCCTGTGTCTAACTTCAAAAAGCCTATTTCTGACCAGGAAATTTATCCAAAGAACGTACCCACTCTAGAGGAAATAGCTATTCGAATTCTATGAGCAAAAGAAGTAAACAAAATAAAGAGCAAGTCACTGTTGGAATGTATGCACAAGGTGGAGGTGGAAGGCGGACAGGATGAAGCATTCCAGGTGGGCTGGGCAGTGTTCCAGGTTTGCCTTTTCCCAGCAGCTCATCTGAAGTGTCGTTCACCAGGCTGGACGTTGCTTCATCTTGACACTTGTCCTAGTTCTATTTCTGATTATTTTTTGTCACCTTGGGGGAAAGTCCCTATTGTACTTGATTTCCTATAGACCTTAACTGTGATTTTATAAGGATATGTGTTACAAATATGCAAAATCATTTTAACTCATTCAGGGTTTTGTAAACAAGTGTTGCTTACCTATTCAGGGGTTCGCATGGTTTTAATATGAGTTCAGATACAATTAATTAGTAGTCAATGTATTGATTAGTCTAGAAAACTTTACAGCAATAAAGGGCATGCTCACCCTACTGCAGCTCTTTATGGCAAGGTTATGGTATTGACAAATTAGGGGCACAGAGCAGTATATCATTAAATATATTACTTCTGATTTTCTGCATCTTAAATGACCCTCTTTGTCTTTAGAGGGCAAACCATCTTGCCATTCCTGATGTGAACTCTGTCAGAACGATATCTAATGGAAGCAGCTCTGTAACCCAGGGGCTCTTTAAGTTCCACTTTGTTGCACTGATGGCTGTTCTCTAGTCTTAACCTACTTCTGAAGTCAGGCATCTATTCAGAATCATTTGCTATTGAATTAGTTAACAACGTTTGGTTTGAGGAAAGATGATGATGATATTAAGGAATGATAAAATCCATCTACAGTGAAAATCGAGCCCATGTCAAAACTGTGGAGGAACCCAAATTCAGATCCTACCCTCAAACTGATTTGCACAAAGAATTATCTGTTAAAAGTGGGGAAAAGAATGGCAGCATGAGGCAACTCATGTAACTAATAAACTTTTCAGATGCTGTTTCATATGTTTGCTTTTCATTAAATGCAGGAATGGTGGCGACTATGTTGTTGTGATTCAGTCAACATTTATTCCTATCTGTTTTTCATATACAAAGGCTTAGGGATGCCAGAAAATAAACTGTTAACGGAGAATTAACTTCTTTGGCATGCTTTCATACTTATCTTCCAAATTAAAGAAAATGAAATGGGCAGAAACAGAGTGTAGATTACCTCCTTTTTGTCAAAAATGGTGGGAATTTGAAAATTAATAATAAAAAAGGGAACAGATGCAGTAACATGCCAGAGGGAGATTAATGTGGAGAGTAAAATCTGTGAGCAACAAAACTGAAGCAAACTGAATCAGTGGGAGGTGGTTGTACAATCAAAATCAGGATAAAAGAGAAATTACAAACAACCCTGCACTTGTCAAAGTAGTAGTAATGAAATCCTGACTCTGCCAGCAGTGAGAACCTGTGTTAGCACTTTGGGGTAAGGATGGTAGCCGGGTGCCAGGTAGGAGGGCAGTGTTAGGTTGCTGGGCAGCAGCCATCTTGTGTAGAACAGATGGCACCGAAAGCTGGCAGGGGAGGGGCTCCTTAGCAGAACTAATCAGACAGTAACAGATAGGGCAGCTGGGAAGACTGACCACAGAGAGGGAGTCTGCGGGGTAGCCGAGTGCCATGATGTTTGCAGTGGTGTGCCCATTGGTCTGAGATAAGACCTTGCAATGTCTTTCCCATCTACAGAAGAACTGAAACTTTGTTCAAAAAGGAAAATTGGGTTGAATTGTGTCAAACCTGGGGGGGTGGGGGTGGGCACTGGGGTGGTGATTGAGAAAGGAAGAATTGTCCATTTCTGAATGTGTCATGGGAGTTTTCAGTCCCAGCTACCATGGAACCTTGATTTTTTGCTGTTTGTATGGTTCTGCCAATCTAACGTATACAGTGTGGCACATGGAATGATCACTTTATACATTATATGCATCAAAGAGTTTGCAGTATCAAGGCTATAGTTAAAATTAGAAAAGATTTTTTTGATATGATTTCTACCGCATGTGTTTCACAAAATGCAGAACTAAAAGCAACCGTGGGATACATGCATTTCTACTTAATAATTTTTCATAACCTCATTTGAGCTATGTTTGATTTCATTTGCCCACTTGCCCTTCTTTTTTCCCCTATGTAACTGTGGGTTGAACATCAAAATATAAGCATAATTCAGAGCCAAAAACCTTACAACAAAAATAAAATCATTCTGCAAATAAAAGAGAAAACTGACCTATTAAAATGTGATAACTTATTAAGGAGTCGTGGTACTTTAAGTATAGAGTTGGGAGATTTGTATTAAAACGATGACTTTAACAAAGAAATCCAGATCTCCTACATCTGCTTTTGAACTTGTATATTTCTTTTTTTTTTGCAGAAGGTTTATAGCTTGGCTCAATTTATTCATTTTGGAGGGGGAGGGGGAAACATTTCAGGATTTGAAATAGGTGGTATAACACAGCCATATGCTATTTATGCAGCAGTTTCTGCAATAAATCTAATTTGGTGCTGTCAAAAAATTAGACTTATTTGATATAGCAGCACATTAGTAAATGATTGTGGCAGATTTAAAGTTGTCATTTAGTCTCTTCTTACTCTTAACAGAATCTCACAAATCAATTTTTCCCCTTTGATCAACTCCATGAAAATATCCCAGTTCTTTGTCTTGCAGTCCTACAAATATTTTCACATCTGAAAGGAGGTCTTGCCTTAAGGTAATTGAGGAAGGGGGTGGAAAAATGAATACCTCTGTTGTTAAAAGACTTCATAAATATATAGGCAGAAAAAAAATAAACCAGAGAAAATTACAGTATTTTCATCATTTGCAGTTCTTAGAAAAGTGGAACTACAAGTCTCATTCAGAATGTAGATAAATTAAGGTCAGTTCTTTATTAAGGAGTTTAAATATTTACCTTCCATCCTACGTCCATATGCTGGTTTAGGAAAACTGATATTAAAGAATGTGAATGGCATCAGCTCTTCGACTTCACCTAGTAGTGCCCAGAGATACGGCTTTACTCTTCCGTAGTGTAACCTGGCAACATTGCTTCAGTGCCTCGTTTTTCTCTTTCTTTTTCTTTTTTTTCTCTGTAAAATTTGTGTTTCAGGTGTTAGTATCAAACTATCTAAACTTTTTTCTAGTTTTTCTTTTTGAAAGATAAGATAAGCAATTACACATTAAGCAGGTAAATAGTAAAAATTATCTGAATTCCTAAATTAGTCCATTTACAAAAGTAATAATTTCATTTCCCTTTTCTTTTTCTTGCGTGCTTATGGAAGGGAAAAGTGTATGTGTGTGTCGCATTTTTATGCATCTGTGTGTGACTGTAAGTGATGTTAAAACTGAGTGTTCTTCATTTGTTTATGTTCGTATCACACAAATTATCCAAAAGAAGGCTACTAGTGTGTTTTTGAAATGCAGTTTACTAAGAGTGAAGAGTTCCTTCACGGTGATTTAAGCAGCCTCTGTTAAACTAGCATCTTGCAAATGCTTCTTTCTTTTATGTAGCAAATCAGACCATGGAAGTGATCAAATTACCAGTACTCTTTCACTGCTTTTCAGAAGCAGGGATCCAGGTGACCAAACTACTGTCAAGCACAGATCACACTAAAGGGAAAAAATATCCAGAAAAGCATTAACAAACTTGCTGGGTAAACGTAAGCAATATTTTTGACATTTTCTCCACATGAAGAGAAATTATTTAGAAATGAGGTTTTAGGAAGATGAAAAAGAAAACACCTCTTAGAATTTATATTTTGAGTTTAAAATCCATGTGTTAAATTACAGCATATATTACATGAGAATGATTTATATGACACTGGGTATTTTGAAGGTCAGCAATAAAATTGAAATTATAGCTAAGAAGTGTGTCTCTGCACTTAGATTTTAAGCTATCTTTTTTGTTTTTGTTTTTAATTTAGCCTCACAATTTTAAAAAATATGTCTGAAAAACTGCTTTGATAAAATCCTTTTTATAAATTATAAATGTTTAATCAGTCAGAACTTTAAGATTTAAATTTTAAATTCCATGTTTTCTGCACTGCCTTTGTTAATAAAATTGACATTCAGTTTTTATATCAAGAAAAAAGATTTAATTTTTACTTTTTCTAAAAAGAATTTAGAAAATTTTACAGACTTGAACAATTTTACTTAATACAAGCATCTGCCATAAGATTAAATCTTGGGGTAATCCTTCAAAATATAAAAGCAGCCTTATGAGTGAAGTGCCATTTAGGTTCACATTTAAGGGCTCATTTGTAATAGTGTTTCTTTTTTGCCATACATTTTCTCCTAAAAAATTATCCTCCATTTTCTTATAAGAAATTAGAATTGAGTCATTGGTTTGCCCTTTTCCTAAAGAATATGGTGCCTGAAATACTGGTAAATAATTCAACATGAAGTGATTTCATGTCTGATTTGTGAAGAAAGGGTAAATACTTGGTAGCTATACATGCCACAAAATAAATTCAATCGAGAGTCTAATTTTCACCTAATTTCTATGAGTTTATTTTTTTCACAGAACTAGACTATTGCTACTACTTATGTTTCTTTAGATAGATTATGTATTTGTTTGGCAGCATATATTTGAACATTATTGAAACAACTTTATTGTTTAAATGATGGGGTTTTAAATATACATGAATTGATTTGTGTATTATGGGTTAAGTTTTTCAAAGCAGTAATGGAGCTGTGTGTTAATATGTAGCTTATAATTGAAATGGTACATATTTGTACATTTTAAGCCTTTCAGTGTAAAATTTCTTAATTGGAATACTCTCTCCCTTGGCTAATTCATTAGTGAAAATATTTATTCCTCAAGTTAATGCTATATAGTATGATGCAATTTTTACGTAGTGTAAACTTGTTTATGATATTTTGATTTCACTTTAAAACTTTTATTTTGCTTCTTATACATATAGTTCATACTCAATATAATGAGAAGTGCAGACACACATGAAGAAAATACGTATCAGCTGTCTGGTTTTACAAATGATCGTTGAAACACCATGTCTTACTACTTTGACTCCAAATTATTGTCTTTCTGAACCCAAAAGTAATTTTCACAAGTACATTACACAACAGAACTTCATCTTCTGCTGGTTAGCAGTAGAGGATTTAAATCCATGCCGACAGTTCATTTGACAATGACCTTGAGGGGCTTTGCTTCTTGAAGAAGAAAGCAGAAGCTTGCGGTAAACAAAGTTCACTTCTGACAGATGGATTGAATGACAGAAAGGTTGCGAGTGCCAGAATAGCCCTGGCAGAGGAGGAAATGTTCAGTGGAATCCAACAGGAGAGGAGGTGTGAACAGGTGCAGGGTTGCTGACGGAAGGGGAACCAGATGGAAGGAGCCAGAGCCAGTTTATTTAAAGGAAAAGGCAGAAAACATTGAAAGGCTGTGCGATCAGTGGCTAAAAGTGTTCATAGAGGAAGGTAAAAATTCACAAAGCAAAACTGCACAGTGGGGTAGCTAACACTTAGCATAATGGTAGTAATTTGTGAGTTTAGTTTGGAAGTTGCAATTGAAATACATTCATCTTGGCTCTTGACACCTTCAAGTATAGATATTTGAAAGTTGTTTATTTTTTAAGTTTCTAAGCTTTTTTAATCCATCCATTAATTTAATTTTTTCCAGCCAGAAGCTCCATTATGATAATACTAAAATTGTGTCGTCAGCTAGGAAAAGAAAAAAATTTAAAGTGAAGGTTAACGTTCCATTCAAATTTATCTTGTGATGCCTCAGTTTTGTTCACATATGGGAAGCAAATGCATGCGCTGTTGGGTGACATCTGTAATATCTAAGAAATTTGCAATGTTAGAATCGATGCTGTTGGTTGCTTTTGTTGTTTTGGATCTCTGTGCATTTTGTGAAGTCCGGTTTGATTGTTTCAGTAGGAATAAGGCTTTTTAAAATACAATTTGCCTGCCACGATCTGCAGGTTAATTTCTGCTGCTGAGGTTGACCTGATTTTCATTGACTTTCAGTGACCTGCCTTTGGGCAGACACCTGCAAACTCAAGTACATTTTACAAAAAGAACAGTATACATACAGTTGAGCAAGAAATGAGGACTTTCTTGTTTTCTAAGACCTATTAAAGTGTAACTTTCTCTTCTGCAAACCAAAGATATCCTTGCTGATACTCTGTGTGTCACTTCTCACATGCCACTTACGTGGGGCCTTGTCTACCACCGTTTTCCTTAAAAATTGTACTACATTACATTTCTGACAAAGAGACGCCAACAGAGGAGGAGCTATTAAGAAGCTATCACCAGGAAAGATTATGAAGATGCACAATTATTTTGAGGTTTTAAAGATCTCGTAAATAATCCACAAAAGTATCTGCACGCTGTTCACAAAGATGAAACACACGAAGTAAATGAGTACTGTATTCGTATTCCTTGTCTCAGAACTGCCTGGATCAAATAGATTGCACTTGATTAAGGCTGGATGTTTTGGGATGTTTTGAGTTTAGAGATAATATCTGTGATCCATAGCTTGGTTTTGTCAGTAAATATAAAGAATTGAAATTTGATTAGCAGCTATAGAAGATGTTTATTTATTCCTGTGCTGTAAATGAAGATCATCAATTTTGATCATCTTTTTTTAATCTGGGTGAGGCAATATACAACGATATTTTGAAGGAAAATGCTAAGTGATTTCTTTTAATAAAAGGAAGTTGATGACCTGTATTTTAAAATCATCTGCAAAATGTATGTTTTTTTCTCCCACTTGTTAAGAAATTTTTATCTAATAACTTAATCTAAAATTTTATATAAAATTGGAGTATACTTGCTTTGATTATAGTATACTGATTTTGCCATCTCTTCCATCATAGTTACTGAATTTACTTATATAATAATGCTACTAGCATGGTGCTGCTGTGTAAAATAATAACATAAAACTCACCTGAACTATGGGATTCAAACTGAAATACAGTAAAGAGAAACTGCAGCAATCAGTCATCATTTGACAGTCATGCCACAAATTGGATTGCAAGCTTTTTATAAGTAGAACCAGTAGCTTCCCAGAAATATGTAACTTTAGTTGTACCTAGTAAAGTGTCTCATGTTACATGAGTTTTTAATTTTCTTGAATGAAGGGATAACAAGTTGATTGCTGTTAAGCAGGTATTCATTCAAAATTTATTGAGCACATGTTCTGTTCTAGCTACACTAGGTACTATGTGAATTTTCAAAATAAAGAGCCTGTGATTTTTTTTTAACAAATATCCTACAACCTGCCAGACAAGGTTTATGTAATTACATATACACACACGTGTGTGTGTGTAAAATCTAGAAACTAGTATGTAAATTTGTAAACTTTCTGTGACTTACGATCATGTTAAATGAATTAATGAAACTCTCCATCTAGTCCAACACTTACATGTGTGAGAATGGAGATGCAGAGAAGCTAAGTGATGTGCCTAGTGCCAACAGAGGTTGAGTGACAGCAAAAGTAGAGTCTGAATTTCCTTTCTCTAAGTCTGGTGCTCTTCCTGCATCCCATGTTATACTTCTTTGTACTCACTGATGATATGACTTGTCTGAGAAACCCCATTAAAATCCTTCAGTGCAAGCCTTTCACAGCCTGTTTTGGAAAGGAAAAAAAAATTATTTTTGGATTTTGGCACACAGTTGCTGGTTCTTGAAACAAACAAACCACAAAGGTTCTTTAGCTTACAAACAGTAATTACCAAATTCACTTCTTGGAACTTTTTATTTTTTTAACAAGAGTCTCACTCGCTTTGTTGCCCACGTTAGAGTGCAGTGGAGCGATCTCAGCTTACTGCAACCTCCACCTCCCAGGTTGAAGTGATTCTCCTGCCTCAGCCTCCCTAGTAGCTGGGATTAGTGCATTAGCCATGCACCATCATGCCTGGCTAACTTTTGTATTTTTAGTGGAGATGAGGATTCACCATATTGACCAGGCTGATCTCAAACTCCTGACTGAGCTCAAGCGATCACCTGCCTCCGCCTCCCAACGTGCTGGAATTATAGGCGTGAGCCGTGACACCCGGTCGACTTCTTGGAACTTCTCCTGGGAGTGTTAGTAAAGACAACCTCCCTGCATACACACTGCTTACCCTGTGATAGACACATTCTATACCTTAACTCACTTAATTCTCACACAACCCTACCGGGTAGATTCTGCCATGAGCCCCATTTTACAGATAAGATAACTGAGGTATTCAGAGGTTAGTACCTTACCAAGGTCACGGCGCTGCTAAGTGGTGGAGTAGGCAGTTAAGCCTAGGTGGTTAGGCTCCCAACTGTGATTTTATCCATTATACTGTATTGCCTCTGTTGGTGGATGTTGTGAAAAATAACTTCTGTCACCAGTTCCTTTTGGAAAGTTGCATTAAACAGGCTAAAACAGGTTTCTTGACAGTAGAGCTTCTCAGAGCTTTTAATATGTTAGTGCACACTGTGACTCTCTTAGAAAGGAATTTAGTTTTCAGTGTTTCCCAAATGTATATGACTTATGGAAGCTTTTCTATCAAATCTCCACACATCTTCCAGGAATCAGGTTTTGAGGAATACACTTGGGGAAAAACTGAACTGAATTAATTTGTAGCAGGACAGCTGAGAATGATCATACAAGGATTATTCATTATTGTATCTCGTCAGCCCTCTGCAGCTCCCTACCCACCCCACCCTGCACGGCATCTTCACTTTCACTGTATCACATATGGTTCATGAAAACAGTAGACAGGTTGGTAACTTTCAGTTTCATTTAGTCAGTTCTGTAAAATGGGGGTGTGGGTTGGGGGAGCATCTTTGGCCATACTTGGAGAGTAGCCAGACAATTAGCTGTGCCAGAGTCACGTTACAAGTTCTTCCATATCTTACTGTCCCAGTTTTGCCTTTATGTGATAATTCTGTTTATTTTTAATTATGTGTTTATTCTAGAAAATAAATTTGACAATTAAATAACAAGATGCCAGTCAGTTAATTGAATTTAGACACCTTTCAAAGCATGACTCTTTGAATGAGATTTCCTAGAATAAGATGTTATTGTGGATACCTTTCTATGTAAACGTTTTAGACAATTTCCTGCCAGGAATTATTGGCACAGATTTGAATTATGGACCCCTAAGTCGGACTCTGCACTAGATTTTGTTTTCCTTCAACCCACGATATGGCAATATTCCTCCCTTTTTTGTATATTCTTTCCTGTGTTATGAAGAAATGGATCAACTCCTGGGCAGTAAGCTCTGGGAGTCGAGAAGTTTAGTACTCAGAATGTGTTCTTTTTTCTGTAAATACAGTTGGAGGTGCCTATAATTTATAATTATGTTAAATGGTTTTTACTGATGAGGTTTTCTATAGATAACTGTCTTGTAATGATAACGACTGGAATTGTTGTCATGAAGACTTACTGTGTGTGGTCTTGGCTTTCCTACCCACCCACCCTACTTTCTGGGTTCTCAAATTACATTTCCTCCAACAAATCAACTCCAGCAATTTTTTTTTTTTTTTTTTTTGAGACACAGCCTTGCGCTGTTGCCCAGGCTGGAGTGCGATGGCATAATCTTGGCTGACTGCAACCTCTGCCTCCCGGGTTCAAGTGATTGTCCTGGCTCAGCCTCCTGAGTAGCTGGGATTACAGGTGCCCACCACCACACCCAGCTGATTTTTGTATTTTTAGTAGAGACAGCGTTTCAGCAGTTTGGCCAGGCTGGTCTCAAATTTCTGACCTCAGATAATCCACCCACCTCAGCCTCTCGAAGCGCTGGGATTACAGGCATGAGCCACTGTGCCTGGCATCTCCAGCAATTTTTATAAAAGTTTGAAACATTCACCAGCTTATTTGTATTCCTCAAGGTGCAGAAAATGTTTGAGAATAAGCAAAAACTACAAAGGCAACAGATTAACTCCCCAGGAAGTGGGATAGCTTACCAAACTGACAGACACATTGATTGACAAGCTAATATGACTACAAGGCCCTCCTGATGAACTTTGAAAGTAGTCCTTTCTGACCAGAAACAAGTAATGAATGATATGAGGATGATTACTAGAGATTGAGGAAAGAAATCTGTGGGGAAAATCTCAGAGAATCTGTTTGCCATTTAAAAATTATAGAAAGACTATCCAGTAATGACGAGTTTCCAATTTTATTTTCATTCATTTGTTAGGAAGAAGTCTGCAATCTAGGTACATAACTGAACACTTTTAAAATAATTTGCCATCTTGGCTATATGGATTAACTTTTTCATGCGCTTTGTAATTTAATTTTAAATGTGAATATGTATTTGGGAGTTGCTTCAGACCAAATTTGATTTACAAAAAAAAAAAGAAAGTGTCATTTTGGTATACGATGGTGACGACTTCAGCTTCAGTTGTTCCTAGTGTTCTACCAGAATTCTTCTCCTTTGTTTCTCCGTTCAGGTAACAGGCAAGTGGCTGAATTAAATGAGAAACTTATCAAAGTTTTTAAAAAAGGTAATTTTAATAGTTTTTGAAAATTATGAGTTTTGATATCTTCATGAGGCATTTATGTTAAGTGGTTTTGGATACCTAATTATTTTTATTTGTGGAATCAGGATTTAAAATGATGCTTTGCTATATGGTGATAGACAAAGGAGTAACATTCAGACCAGTGCTGTCCAAGAGAAATATAGGCTGGGTGCAGTGGCTCACGCCTGTAATCCCAGCACTTTGGGAGGCCAAGGCAGGTGGATCACGAGGTCAGGAGTTCAAGACCAGCCTGGCCAAGATGGCGAAACCCTGTCTCTACTAAAAATACAAAAATTAGCTGAGCGTAGTGGTGAACGCCTGTAATCCCAGCTACTTGGGAGGCTGAGGCAGAGAATTGCTTGAACCTGGGAGGCAGAGGTTGCAGTGAGCCGAGATTATGCCACTGCACTGCAGCCTGGGTAACAGAACAAGACTCCGTCTCAAAAAAAAAGAAACACACACACACACACACACACACACACACACACACACACACACACAGTTGGGGCGATAAAATATATTTCATGACATAATTTGAAATTTTCTAATAACCACATTTTAAAATGTAAAGGGAGGCCGGGCGTGGTGGCTGATCCCTATAATCCCAGCACTTTAGGAGGCCGAGGCGGGTGGATCATTTGAGGTCAGGAGTTTGAGACCAGCATGGCCAATGTGGGGAAACCCTGTCTCTACTAAAAATATAAAAAAATCAGCCAGGCATGGTGGTGCACACCTGTAGTCCCAGCCACTCAGGAGGCTGAGGCAGGAGAATAGCTTGAACCCAGGAGGCAGAGGTTGCAATGAGCCGAGATTGTGACACTGAACTGCAGTGTGGGCAAAGAGCAAAACTCCATCGAAAAAAAAAAAAAATGTAAAAGAAACAGGTGAAATTAATTTTAATAACATAGTTTCTTTAACCCATTGTGTAGAAAATAGTATTGTTAACATGTGATTTCTGTAACACATTATTGACATAATTTTGATTTTTTTTCATAAGTCTCCACACCCCTTTGTGTATTTTGCACTTACAGTGAATCTTGATCCACCCTAGCCATGTTCCAAGTGCTTACTAGTCCCACGTGGCCAGTGGCTGCCAAACCAGCCCTAGACTTTTGTTACCCAGTTTTCCAGCTTTCCAGGGTGCCCAGCATAGATGCAGTTAGATTTCCATGAGCTTAATCCCTGAATTCTGTTTCTACAAAAATGGGAAATATTTTATTAAAACAAGAAAATCATGTCATCATTTTCTTGAATTTTGGAGGCAGTAGCCAGGCCTCTTATTGGCTAGTCTTTTTCTGAAGAATCACCACTTTGAGGAGGAGGAGGAGGAGGAGGAGAGAGGAAGATACCACTTACTGGTCATTACTTGAAGAGATGAACGATTAAATGTACCAGCATCACATTATAATAAGTTCTTCTATATCTTACTGTCCCATCTGTGCCTTTATATGTTGAAGAGTTGTTGAAAATAAAATTGACAAATAACTAGGTGTCAATCTGTTAACTGGATTTAGACAGTTTAGGAACCTTTCAAATGGTCATCTGGGCTGGATATTGCCAGTTGCCTTATGAAGTTCTCACATAATTCTGATAATATCATCTTATTAATGAGAAAACCGAGGCTTAGACTGAGACGAAGTTCGGCCTTGAAGTAACACAGCTAGCACATGGGGGAGCCAGGGCTCAAGCCCAGCCCTGTGTATGCCAAGCCCACATCCCCTGTGCAATGCCACCTCCCCCTGTGTAGCTTATGTCAGTAAATTGAGGAAAATTCTTATCCTTTCCTCAGGGCTGGCTTTCAGATAACTACACTGATTGTTTCAGTTTGAGCAGTCATCTTCTAGGAAATAAGGATAATAGTAATATGGTAGTAATTAATATTTTAACTTACTATATGTCAGTGCTGTGCTAACAGCACTTTATATATGATATCCTCATAGTCCTATGAGGAAAGGTACTGTTATTAACCTAATTTTTCCTTCAAGAAAACTGAGTCGTAGCTTATGTGACTCACTTAGGTCAGGGGTCCCCAGTCCCGGGCCACCTGAGCTCTGCCGTTTGTCAGAGCAGCAGCATTAGATTCTCATAGGAGCGCTATCCCTACTGTGAACTGCTCATGTGCGGGATCTAGGTTGCACACCATTTTATGAGAATCTAAGCCCTGGTGATCTGTCATTGTCTCCCATCACCCCAGATGGAACTCTCTAGTTGCAGGAAAACAAGCTCAGGGCTCCCATTGATTCTATGTTATGATGAGTTTTAGAATTATTTCATTATATGTTACAGTGTAATAATAATAGAAATAAACTGCACAATAAATGTCATGCAGTTGAGTC